ACCCAATACAGAAAAGCTATCAGGCTTATCTTCTAACTGCTAAAATCACCAGAGTCCTCAAACCCCAATGGCAACCTCTTTAACCTCTCTCCATAACCTGGCCCACAATCATCTAGACGCACCCAACACTGGCTGGATGGGGTCTCAGGCTCTCACTGCACCAGTGCCAAGTACACTTTAACTCAAGAGAGGACATCAACCTTCTGTTTCAATGGAAAACTAGAAAACCATGAAAGCACAAGACTGTTCCTCATATCTGTTGGGAACTGTCTCCATGACAGTCACCTCAATGCCAAACCCACAGACACTCAAGTCCTTTATATACAACGGTGTAGTATTCACACAGCAGCTACAGACATCCCCTCACCCCTAGACTTCCAATCTTCTCAAGGAGACCTGGACATAGTACAGAATGATATGTAAGTGGTTGCTGTACTGTACTGCCTAGGGGACAATGACAAGGAGCAAAGTCTGTATATGTTTGTATAGACACAGTACATTCTCCCCACATTTTCAATCTGAGGTTGGCTGAATCTGAAGATGGAGAAGCTGTACATACAAAAGGTCAACAGCACTTAAAAAGAGATGGGGCTTGGGCTGGGATTTAGCTCAGTGGTTCCGTCGCCTGCCTTACAAGTGCAAGGACCCAAGTTTGATCCCCAGTACCAAAAAAAAAAAAAAAAAGAAAGAAAAGAAAGAAAAAAAAAAAAAGAGATGGGGCTTGGGCCAGAGATTTTAGCTCAGTGGTTCTGCTGCCTGCCTTACAAGTGCGAGGCCCTGAGTTCAATCCCTGGTACTAAAAAAATGATAGGGCTCTCTCTTTCCTTCCTTCCTTATGTTTTTGCAGCATTTGGGATTGATTCCAGGTCTTGGTGCATACTAGGCATGCACTGTACTACTGAGTTGCAGTCCTGCTCCCTGATCAGGGCATTTTTAGATGCAGCAAAGGAGAAGTTTCTGGCTGTCAAAACCAAGGAAGTAGAGGCCAGGGATGCTTAACATCCTGCAGCACACAGGACAATTTCAACAAAGAAATTCCCAGTGCTGAGAATGAGAAACCCTATACTGGAGCTATGAGCCCTGGGGGAAACAGAACCACAGTGAGCAAATAGGGCCATCCCAGGACTGGAGCTGCTTCACTGACCCACTGAGTGAAGCCCTTGCAGCACCCAGGGGCATCCTGGACACATAGGGACATACTACTGAGCATTCACAAGGTTGAAACCTCTCAACCTTAGTTTGATCACATAATCATTTATTAAACAATGACAGGTGCTATGATAGCTCTGATAGGAACTTACTTTTTCTCTCTCAAATGTCGAAGGCGATGAAATACATTGATGACATCCCGGATTCTTCTTGGAGCTTCTTCTATTTTGGAGGCCAAGTGTACACAAGCCATGGATACATGCTAAAATGTAAGCATTGTGGCAGATGTGTTCGCAGCCTTGGGCTTTCCAAGGCTAAGGGTTACTGGGAGCAAAGAGAAGGTGAAAGAGGCAAAGGCCTCTATGAAAGGAAAGTGCCACAGGGAGCAGGGGCTGAGTAGAGCAGGGCTCCTCCCAGCACACCCCCCTGGCAGGAAGCGAAGGGGCGGGCCTACCTCCATGGAATGCTTCACGAAGGATTTGGTGTAAAAGAATCGCTGAAACAGCACCTGCCCCGTAGCCATGGCCACCTAGAGACAGAGAAGTTTCCATCACTTTTGAACGCGCACACTCAAGACCAAGTAATGTGAGGTTCCCCGGGATAAAAATAACAACACGTTTTCCACGTTCCCCAAGATCTCTGCGTCTCAAAGCCTTCAGGGCTCTGCTTGTGTCCGGGTCAGTGGACAGGGTCAGGGGTTCAGGGTGCGAGCCACTTCTGGGCAGAGCAGGGTAGGGTAGGGGCACATCGAGGCTGATTCGGGGCATGGTCGGAACGGGTTGGATCGGGATCAGCTCTGGGAGCGGGACAGGTTGGGTCGGGGCCCGTTCTGGGCACGGGCCCCACTGCCGGCCTTTCCCTCGAGGCCCAAGGCCATGATCACCTGCGGCAGGCGCAGCAGGATGCCGGCCGCCTGGATGAGTTCGCAGCCCACCACGCGGAGGCCGGTCTCGGTGTCGGTGTCCAGGCCGCTCGACATGGACGGTGTGAAGCGCAGTTTGTCGTCAGGCAGCAAGCAGTTCTCCAGGGTGATGAGCACTCCTGAATACAGCTTGTCCCCGATCAGCACCCCCTGCGACCCGGGCGTGGCTGCCCCC